CCTGCTGTTCAGAGTGACAACAGATCACTCATGCAATAATTTCTTCTGTCCATTTTGTCAGGGTTGCTCATACCGTAACCACTATACTGTCCCACTCCCATCCCATCTTTTGTAGAGGTGAGCTTGTTTTACTGCTGGCAACTAGTATGGCTTGTGGTCACAAGGACTCCGGTTGAATAGATTAAAATGCAATGAGCTCTTGTAGACAACACGTAGGCAAGGGGCATTTCAGTACTGGCTCTGGCACAAAATTCCTCTTTAGGCACAGTTGGGACATCTAATTTCTCACCTTGCAACTGCCATCTGTACAATGAAGTAATGCCTGCCTGCCTATCTCATAGGAGCACAGATGAGAGATTCATGCTTGTGAAGTGATAGAGGAATGCACTGAATGCACGATAGAGCCATCTGATCTACAGGGAATTGTTCTTGAAAAGACTAAAAATACTAGCAGCTATGTTCATGTGTGTAGTGTAGTACTTTAATCAACTCCTGTAACTGAAATGAGGGATATCGTATGTCAAGAAGGTGCTGGAGCCTTTCAGTGTCCTCCCAGTGACTTTGAGAAACTTGAGCAAAGGCAAATATATTGCTTTTCAGAAATATTTTTGTAATCCCCAGTGCAAAGCCTTGCATGTTTCTGAGTGCTCTCCAGTCCTTAACTTTGGCTGCCTTTGGGCTTTCTTGGGCTCCTTTCAACTGGCCAAACCTACAGCATGACAGCAACAACAGCTGGCATGAATTTGTCGAAGTCATTGATATTCACTGGTAACCTTAAAAATGGGGAAATCGTCCCTTTTGTCGAATTACAGACATTGCACGGTAGGATTTCAACAAGATTTCAAGGATGCTACTGTCCTGTATAAAATTAGATGAACTAGGCCCCTGTTATGTTCACTAGAACCACAGGACAGTTACTGTATGATTTTTTTGTGTGCTGCATATTATGACATAGATATTTTGCTTCTTTTAGAAGATAAAGGGAAAACAAAGCCCAATAGTGCAAGTCAGCAGTCCAGTACAGAAGTGGGTCCTTTTCTTCCCAAACCTGGAGTGGCAGCAGTGGCACCTGTAACACCTGCCTCATCCTCGAAGAGCACAAATGGAGCTCCTAACACAGTTTCTGAGTCAGAAGAGGAAAAAGCCAAAAAACTACTTTACTGTTCGTTATGCAAAGTGGCTGTGAATTCCCTGTCACAACTAGAAGCCCACAATACAGGTGAGTATGCAAACAGTGCAAGTCAGTTGTGTGTTATAATTTTAAAAATCCAGTGTAACAAGCTGGTTTTCTGACACTGTGGTAGTCACACTTCGCTGAAGGGTCTTTAGTTGAAACTTACAATAGCAAGTTACAAAAAAATTTCTGTTAATGACAATTTCTTGTGTGATGTTTGATATTTTATTAAAGTGCTCTCTAAAGTTTTTTGAACTGTCCTTTATGTACTCTATAAACTTTTAGTTGACAAAATCCCTACACTTCCTGTTATCTAATCGGATTCCGTCATACCTCCATAGTGAGGACCATAGTATGATCATAGTGGTTTCTGTTACACTAAGGTTTCTAAAGTGTCAGTTCTGTGTCTCTTTCATATTTCATCTCACTATTTCTGGTGTCTGTTTTTTTGCTGGTACAACATATAGTCATTTTTGTTATTTGATATTTTTGATAATTTTAGGGTTGACTCCTTAGATTTCCAAGATATCTTAGAATCTTTTGATTATTGCAGGTTAGATATGCTCCCTTTAAAAGGCCACAAGCAGCAATCCCTAGTGTGCTCTGGCTGCTCTGTGATGTGCTGGTGACATAAAACTTGTTAACAAACCATTGAAGCTGGTTTTACAGCTGTCATCCAGTCTTGAAATGGCCAAAGCAGCCATTTCTTACAAATCAGGGGATACTTATTGAAGTGTTACTGTTCCTAGGCAGGTTTTGAGTGATTGATGTGGTTCCTCTCCCACTCTTGGCTAATGCCTTTTTTCGTGACTCACCAGCTGTATGGATTTCAGCAGAAGAATAAGCAACAAACACCTTGGTCATACAGACGCACCCTGCCCCCAAACAGAGAGGCAGTGATCCAGCATGCCTGGTGTTCCCTTTTTGTGCAAAACTTTCTTCCATTGTCTGGCTTCCCTTTAGATTGAGGAAGTGGAAACTACACTGACCAAGAACAGAGTCGTCATTAATCCCGATCTGTGGTGACTTTAATCATTCTGTCTTGAAGATAAATGTGTTACAAAAAGTCCCAAGGCTAATGGACATGGTTGTATCTTGCTGATCATTAACTCACCTGTGTCTCCTTGCCCATTAGGCTCCAAGCACAAGACCATGGTTGAGGCTCGGAATGGTGCCGGTCCCATCAAGTCTTACCCTAGACCTGGATCCCGGCTGAAGGTGCAGAACGGCAATAAAGGCTCAGGACTGCAGAACAAGACATTTCATTGTGAAATCTGTGATGTCCATGTTAATTCAGAAATTCAACTTAAGCAGGTAGCTTGCATGCATCTGGGGCTCCTTTGTTGGTTTTAGTTGCATTGCAATATTGTAGGTGAGATGTATGTCTGTGTGAAGATGTTTTGGCAAAAAGTGAACTTAGTTTTTCTTTTCTGTCATCCCACGACTATTTCTAACATTTCACCATAGGTCAAGTTCAGCTAAGTGTTTCAGCTGGGAAAAAATGAGCTTGAGAGTCATAAAGCAGAGGTGGACAAGGTGTCAGTTTCAAGAAATAACATAACAGATCTAGTTTAAAAGTTTGCTGTGGCTCAGGAGAGAGATTTGAACTTTGGTCTCCCAAATGGAAGAAATTCTAGGTTTAGGTTCCCTGAATTCCTCTTTTGGTGCCGTTTCAGTCTGCTGGGATATTTTTTAATACTATGTGAGAAGGAGAATGTGACTTGAATCTATTAGTTTAGGACAATCAGCAGGAGGGTAATACTGGAGATACATCTGAAGTGTGTAGGGCAATGTTATCATTAACAGCGTAGCTGTACGAACATGCAGCTCTGATCTGTCTGAGCCAATTAGCTGTGAGTTCTGAACTGTGCCAACACAAATACAGTGTTTCTGATACCCAGACGGGAGTCTCTAACTGGATGGTGCTGTGCTGCGTGGATGTGTCCTCTCATTCCTGTTACTTCAGTTATCTCTAAGATGGTCTTAAATTTCAGGGTGTAGACGTATCCCTGGGTACTGGTTCTTCCTTCAGCTAATACTAAATTATTTATACAACTGAACAGCATCAGTAAGACTGAAATTTACCTCCTACTTCTGAACATCCCTGTGACCCAGTGATTACAGCTCTGCCTGGCTCAAAGCTCCTCAAGTGGAAAAAGGAAATATTAACCAAAATATCAATAATTTGCAGGGCCTGGCTTGGATCACAGAATGCACTGTATTTGATTAGTTTCTGATTCGCTATTTGATGTGCTCCGAATTGTTATGTTTAATTTAGCAAAACTCATTTTTTCTCTCTCTAAAGAACCTACTTTATCTTACAAACAGAGGCTTAGGCATATCCTGCTGATAAAACAGTTTCAAACTCAAAACTGAGAAATGTTTAAACAGCTAATTAAATGTGAGGATATTTATTTCAGCACATTTCCAGCCGAAGGCATAAGGACAGAGTTGCAGGAAAGCCTATGAAACCTAAATATAGTCCTTACAACAAACTGCAGCGCAGTCCAAGTATTTTAGCAGTAAGTATATTTATTTCTCATCATTGTCTGTGTGAATTTGTGACCCTGGGGACTCCCACCGCCCAGAGCCAGGAACATGACAGACCTGACGCTTCAGCAGCGTTTGTCTCCCTGCAGGCTGAGCCTGCACGGTGATCAGATTTGGAGATAGTTATGTATTCTGTCTGCCCAGTCAAAGGCACGCAGACAGCACTGCAACTGTTATTTACTGCTAGGAAGAAGGGAATAATCAGTGGAATGGGGAATGAACCATGTACCTCATGGAAAGGTGTCGGCTCTGCTGTGCTAGTGCACTTCTTGAAGGCTGCAATGTATATACTCTGTCTTTCTGGGCACCTGAGATAACTCTTAGTTATGATGAATGCAGTCAGAGAAAAGGACATAAGATTTTAAGATACAAAAATACTAATTCTCATTCTCCGTATGCGGCAAGACAGAGTGCTGTGTGGATTTATTATGTTGGTGCAAAAGAGCTATCGGGTGTTTAGGAGAATTGATTGCCTATCTGCACGCTCAGGCCATGTCTGTCACTGGCTATCAAAACACCTCTCCTGCCTTTCTGCCCCCAGCCATTCCCCTTTCACACCCACCTGCATTTCCAGGAATTCCCCAAGCTGGTTCTACCATTCAGCTGCAGCTGGAGTTCAGGCTGGCTCTAGCACAGCACAGCACAGACTGTATGTTTGTTTGCTCATGACTCAGCCTGTATTTTATTCATTAGGGAAAAGTGCTTGCCACCTGTGGCACAAAAACAATTTATAGGTTGGAGAGAGAGATGCAAATGTGTGTGTGCAAGAATAAGCATGTGAAAAGCCTTTAAAAGCTGAAATATTAATATGTCATTGTAATTGTACAGAGGCAAATGAAAATGCTGCAGGCTTTCTCTAAGTCTCTCCATTCAATAGGTTCTGCACACACTGATCTTCATGTGTGTAATACATAATTTTATAATCTATTGCATAAGGAGAGACTAATAAAGGAGGGACGTGTCTTTGCCCTCAACAAATGTGTGATTGTGCTGCAAACCGTTTTCAGTGAGACTGTAGTGTATATATTTCTTGTTAGCTTTTTCACCATAAGCACCAGCAACAACTGTAGATCACAAACTGAGAAATAATTCTTTCAGAAAGAATTCTTTATGGTATTGATCTTAAAAAATATCTCTATTTTGAAAAGAGCAGCTCTGCACTGGCAGGTAAAAAGCTGACTGGACTAACACTAGCTTCCCATCTTGACCTCTCTGCTTCTCTACAACTCATTTTTGCAAGTGGAAAACTTGACTTTTGACATTGAAGTCTTAATCGTGTTTCCTTAATATTTCTTGCACAGTTATGATTTACATGATTTAATGTTGTTCACTTGCAAATTATGTTTCCTTCTAAATGTCAGCATGACTGCCCTTACACTCAAGAGATTTATGTATCTTTAAATATACGATTTGGTTGCTTTAATTGCCTTGGGAGTAAGAAGACAATGTGGGTAAAATTTCTAAGCAGCTGACGTGAGGCTTCTGTGAGAAACCACAGCGTGCCCTTTGTCAGAGTTCATTTTATCCCTCATGTAAAAGTAGGCGTGGGGAAAACTGTATTTACATTGCTTTTTTGTGTGTTTTATTCTAGGCAAAACTTGCATTCCAGAAGGACATGATTAAGCCGCTGGCACCTGCTTTCCTTTCATCTCCTCTTGCTGCAGCTGCAGCTGTATCGACAGCCCTGTCCCTTCCTCCCCGTCCCTCTGCCTCCTTGTTCCAGGCACCTGCCATACCACCAGCTCTCCTCAGGCCAGGCCATGGTCCCATCCGGGCAACACCTGCCTCCATACTTTTTGCACCATACTAATTTATTGGTGTAAGAAAGAGATAACTATGGCCAGTAGAAAGGGTAAAAGAAAAGCAGGAAAAGGGTCGAGATTTTAAAATGTCTTTCTCTTTTTAAATGCCAGCTAGCGTGACACCTCAACCTCCCACACCATAACATTCATCATTGACGGTACTGCATTTTGGAGTCTAGACAAGTCTCCTTCTTGGTCTCTCTCTGTCTCTCCTTTTTTAATACAAATAGAGAGTGATTTAGTAAAAACTTAATTGCTCATAAAATGCATACCATTAAAGATTCAAGCGTCTATTACTTTTTTTTTTTTTTTTTTTTTTGCAATGTGTATGATGCACCTTGGAATCAAGGAACGTAAAATATTTTCCTGACAGACTTGAAAACTAGGGTCTTCCTCGCTCACGCTTATGTAAATACTTCTCTGAAAACCAATGGGGTATAATCTAATGTGGAAAAAAAGGTAGATGAACCAAATGCTTGATTGTGGACAACATCTCAGAAATGAATTGCGTCTTTTTTTTTCAGTGTGCTCTTGTTGACAGGGATTGTGTACTGTCCTAGGCCCCAGTACTGGTGTATCTTGTGTAGTACTAAAGATGTATCACATGTCTGATTTTGATATTTTTAGTTTCTGTGCAAATGTTGGAAAGCAATGCAGCGCTGAAGCTCTTAATTATTTCTTTTGTGTCACACTTTATTTAGAGAAATTAAAAATAGAAAGCCATATAACATAGTCAAGATTACTACTTGTTTGCTACTTTCATTTAACTTATTTTTGTTGTTTCCTTACTGGTGTTGCTAAGCAATGTTTAAAGAGAAAAAAAGCTTTTCAATTGCACATTACCACAGCTCACATGCATTGTTCAAGAAGACGATGGATCCATGTATTTGTACATAAATATCCTTTTTTCTTCATTTCTAACTAGTTTCCTTTGTAACGATGCTGCATAAGGTTGTGGCTCCCTAATGCAATAATGTACAGAACATAAAATATTTATAATTGACCGTATTCTCTGTTTACTGAATATATTGCAGTAATGCCCCACCTGTCTTCTTACCTCCCCAACCCTTTTATAAAGGTGATATCAATATGCAGTACTCAGACTGAAGTCATTATGTGATGATGGGGACAGCAAGTGGAAGAAAGGAAAAAAAAAATAGAATTAACTTTTAGAGCATCTTTATCTGCAATCCATAATAGTAAAATGTCTGTGTATTTTTTTAAATGTACCTTTTCAATAAAATAATAAGAAAAAATATACATGCTTCTTGTGTTTATTAATTGGTATGGGAAAAAAAAGAAGAACCTGAAACAAGCAAATTTAGCTAAAAGAGTCTTCAGGAGCAGTCAAAGCATGAGAGTTGCAATAAAGTATAATTACAGAGCCTGTGTTTCCCCCCCCCATGTGTTTTAACTCTTTTCCTTGCTACATCCATTACAGCCTTTACTGAGGTGTTTTTGCAGTGAGACTATAAACATTCACTACCTTGGAGATTCAGAGGAAGAAGCAATAGAGACAGGTGGGTGATTATGCACCACCAAAAGCTACAACGTGGTTATGCCATCTCTGGTGGAGATTAAGGATTAACTTGAAAACCAGCCTGGGTGTACCTGAGACTGGAAGCAGGATGCTTTGGAGGCAGGACTCGCTCTGAAACATGGGCAAAGTACGCAGTTGCTTGATGCAGCAGAGTTTTGAAGGCAGGTTTGGGGAAGCTTTGAAATGATCTTTTTCACTGCTGAAAATCTTTTCTTTGTTAATATAAATTGAAAAGCAAAGAGTGCAAGAGTAAAAAGGCTCAACTGTAAGGCTGTTAGGGTTAATATAAAGCTGACAGGGACATTACAAGTCCACAGAGGCTGAGGGATAAAAATTTCAGGAACTTTATAATAGAGAATTTACAGACCAACATTTGCCTCATAGTTGCAATGTATTGGAGACCATTTTCTGCAAGTGTAATTCTGCCCAAATTACACCATTCAGTGGATCAGTCGACTGTGTTGTGAGAGGATAATTTGCTGGAGAATCAGCTACGAAGGCTTAGGTAAGGGAAGGCTTAGGTAAGGGAGTCCGGACTTTTAGCGTTCTTTGGGGAAGCAGGTATGCTTGTATTAACCCTGTGGACTGTGAGAATTACAAGGTAGCACAGGTAGGCATCTTCCATGTGCATCTGTTTGCATCTGATTTTGTAACTCATGCTTGTAGGGAGTCAGATTTAACTGCTCAGCTACTTTCCAAAGAGTTACTTGCATGAGGAGCCTGTTTCTGTCCAACATGAGATAAGTTTACAGAACTGAGTATTTTAATTGGTTCTTCAGGAAACAGGCTGTTCATGCAGCCTGCGTATTAAAACACAATTTTACCTGCTTTTTATAACCTACTGTTGATGATAAGAAATTTGAAGCAATTACAAGTTTCTGCAATGGAACATGCTCCCGTATAAAATAGAGAAAACCTGTACTAAGGGAGGGGACCAGCCAGGGGTGTGTAGATTTGTTGGACAGCTGATTATTTCAAAGAGCATCTTACACTGGAGAAATATTTTAGTCACTAAGAGTGAAAGAATGTGTCATGTCATTGAGCAATGAGAGGATTACTTAACCTGTGAAACACAAGGAGCTAAAAGACTATGATTGTAAGCCAAGGAAGACTCATGTTGTTCAACGCCCTTTGTACTCTTTGCTGTGTTAACGTACATTTTGTGTACTGTAACTCTGCTTGCCACCAGTTTTGTCTATGAAATGCAGGACTGAGCATTTGAGATTATAATTATGTGATAAACAACAAAACCCCCTCTCATTATGCCTGCTGGGATTTCACATTTCAGAAACGAGGTTTACATGAGAAGGAAAATTTGTATCATACTTGCATAAAGGCTATCAGCTGCTTTTTTGATATGTTAGGATGTTTTCTCCTGAGGTGGAATAGCATTACAGACAGCTGGCTATGAAATTAATGGATTCATTATAACAAGTAACTAGTACTGAAATACAGTATTTGCAATGCAGTTGCCATTTTGAATAGATACATTGAATGTGCAAACCACTAAGGTAATAAAGTTACGTTAGAAGTCTATTATTCTAGGTCTGTTCACTGCACTCTGAGCTGCAAGGTGTTCCTGTATGAGAAGTCAGAAGTGGTAAGGGGCACTGTGTTGGTCAGGGATTGTCACCTGGCACTGCTGTCTTTCTGTAGCTGAAGAAAAAGGATCCAGACTGGACACAGACACATCAGCAGGAGCTTTCAGCTGGCATGTGTGGCTGGATCGTCGTCCCTGTACTGCAAAAGATTTCCATAAAGTGTATCAAACAGAGGACGTGATCCAGTAGTCTATACAGATATAAACATTTAAGAAAAGTAATAGGAGTAGGATCTCCTTCGACCACTGCAGGATACTAGTTAGTATGTGTGCCTCTCATTTCTGCAGGTCAAAATAATAAAATCTTTCCCTCTGGTTTTGGTAAGATAGCAGAAGGAAGAAGACAGAGGCTGGTACACACATTACTCTGTCCATATGACCACTTGAACGCCTATGATAATGTTACACTGGGAATTAGAGTCCATCTCCTATAAACTAATAGATGTTTCTTGTAAGAAAAGGATTATTTCATTAAAAAATAAATTACCTCATTTTAGTCCCTTAGTCTGTGATCTCAAACTATAAATTTGTCACAGTTGTCTGGATAAGAGTACATGGTTGTTTTAAGATCTGCAGGAAGCAGTTCACTACCTTTATGCATCTGGCAATAACCCAGTGAGCCTCACTGTGTATCTTTTGAACATGTCACCTTGAGTAAGTGAGGTACTGCACTATTTATTCATGCTTGGTTGGACAGTAAATCTACACAGCTGTCTCCTTCTGGTCACAGTGGTCATGATGATTTTCTTACTATGGCTAGTATTTTTTTAACCATTTATTTCTTAACATTGTTGTTTCATGTGATAACCTAGGCATCCTCAAGTATTTATTGGAATGGCGAGCATTTCAGGTAAAACTATATATACTTTTTTGAGTATCTAGAATTCTTAGATTATATAATGGTTTTGGATTCTAGTAACATTGATTTAGTTTCTAGTTGATTTACTTTCCTGTTCATATTTATTTGTATTGATAGAGTACTGTGCTAGATGCTGAATGCCAAGAGCCAACTCCTGCCAAGCACTAAAAGTGGAGGAGGCCAAACTGAGCCTGTTTGCTTTGTAAGGCTGCAGTTGAGGCAGGTCGCCAGTGACTGGGGAAAAAAAGACAATTATGTGCCTATCTTCAAAAATGGCAAGAAAGAGGTTCTGGGCATGTGAAAACAAGTAGGTGATTGGGATTGGCCAACATGGGTTTACAAAAGGCAAGATTGTAATTTCTGTGGCAAGATGCCTGTCTGTGCAGACAAGGGGGAGCACTGGGTGCCATTACGTTGACTTTAGTAAGGCTTTTGGCACCATCTGTCATAGAATCCGAGCAGGCAAATGGGGGCAGCATGGACAGGGTGTGTGGCTGTAGGAGTGGCTGGGCCACCAAGCTGCAAGCGTTGGGCAGCCGTTTGCAGACTGTCACAGCCAGTTGAGTGCTGTTCTTTGGGTCAGCAACACGTAGCATACTCATCAGTGACCTGTACAGTGGGATGGAGAGCACTTGGCAAGTGTCTGGGTTTTAATACCAAATTAGAGGGCCTGCCTTTCCAGGCGGTATGCTGGAGGGTAAGGCTGCTGTCCAGAGGGACCTCAGCAAGCTGGCCACATGGTTTTGACAGGAACCTCAGGGGTTTCAGAAAAAGGCCAAGTTCTGCATCTGGAAGGAGCCACCCCATGCAATATTGCAGATCGGGCCCGCTCACCAGAAAGCAGCTTTGCAGGAAAGGACCCGGGGGGCGCGGAGGGACACCCGTATTTTGTGGTGGACAAATTGAAGACAAGTCTGCAGTGCGCCCTGGTGGCAGCAGAGCTTAATAGAATACTGTGCTGCAGTGTTGATCTGCTTGAGGGTAGAAAGGCTCTTCAGAGGGACCTGGA